AAAAAAACACAAAAGCACCAGGTAGACTTTTACAATTTTATTAACCAGTGGTATTAGTACTGTCCTCTAGATATATAATATATAAGAACCTTTAGAGTCTTACCAAAGTCTTTCCATCCAAGTCTTGTTCTCTGGCTGCCTCTGGCTATCTTCACATTCAGCTGAACTCAGTTCATTACGTGGATTACCAAGATGTTTTCTCAAGATGCAAGGCAGATCAGTTACCACCCCCCATTGCCCCAATAATTGCACCATAAACCTTATTCCAGGCTCCACTCCTCCAACATAATACTGTACATATATATATATATTTATTTAAATAATTTTTTTTTTTTTGAGTGATTTGATGGTTAGACTGCACACAACAATGGCTTGGCACATCTACTTTTCCTCTGCTTTGTTAGCATAATCTTTCTCTTCAGGGGCAATCAGCAGTCAGTTGCATCTATATAAACTTACAGTCATGGGCTTCCTGTCCTTCCACAATTCAGGGGGAAAGACACGCAGCAGCAAATGGAAGGGGGAATTCCACAGCCAGGGTAAAGGGCAAGTAGCAGAAAAAAATGTGTAGAATACTACAGCTAAATACTGCCCACCCTTCCTCAAAAGCAGGCAAAAAAAGAGAAGTAAAAGTGTTGCATGTGGAAGTATTGGGTGACAGACAAGTATTGCTGATGTGCCCTCTTACCCTTCCTCCTTCACCTCCATCTGCTCCTCCTCCACCACCTCCACCATTTCTATCTCCTCTGTTTGAACAGTGCTGCGCTGCTCCATATGACCATATAAATCCATAGTAATCACCACTATTCACCCATAATTGATACGAGCTATAATGAAACAAAAATATAATCAAATACACACCAAAATGAATATACAATATTACCTAAAAGGATATAGTGTTAGTCATTTATCATAAAGTGACTCGTGCCTAATATGCTCCAGTGAAATAGTGCCAATAACACATGTTAAATCTATAATATATATAATAAATAGCATCAACAAATATATTGCTCTAATTGGTGATTGCAAATAATTGTTTATTACACACAAAAAAATGTCCTTAAAAATCAAGTAATAAAATGTTAAAAGTCCACAGTGTTCTAGAAGACACCATAAAAAAAAATCTCCAACATGTATTCAGTGAGTCATGCTCAGTGTCTTGCCCTTTATACTTCAATGAGTAGTGCTCCACCACCAGACAGATTGCATATTCATCTTCAGTTATGACCCATAAATATTATAGGTCTCATGCACTCATTCTTTTAAAGCATGTTATCTCTTTCATTTGGATGGGAATCATATACCAGAAAGAATAGACGTACGGGTCCCTTCAACAGCTTGATTCCTACTGCAATAAAGCATACCTGTAGTTAAAATGAATATCTCCTAAACGTGTACCATTTAGGAGATATTCACTCCTTTTGACAGCTGGCACATGCACTATAAAGGAACGGCATACCCGTGCTGTTCCTTTAGAACACTGTACTGTAGCCCATGACTCACCATGGATCAACCATTCAAGCTGCTGCAGCCCATGAGCCTGGGAGGAAGACCAGGTGAAGATGAAAGCCCTGTCAGCGCACCGCTGGAGGGCTTCATTCTAAATAAATTATTTCATAATGTGTTTAGTATGCAATGCATACTATCACGTTATGCAATTGCCTTGCAGGGGATTTTTTTTTGTTTTTTTTAAAGCTGTGGTTTACTACTACTTTAAGAAAGAAGGAGTCAAAAGAAGCTAAGTCAGTTTCCACACCATGCCAATCTGGAAGGAGATATCACGACTGTGGTTAAAACAGACACTGCACTGCCTAAGAAGAACTTTGCCTTTCACCACAGAAGGAGTCCTGAAAGAGCTGAAGAAGCTTCTATCTGGAAGTCTTGGAGATGCTACAAAAGTTACTATCAGGAAACCTGGTGGGAAACCACCCTCAACGAATTCAGGTATCCAGTCTCATTCAGGCAATACACACTAATCTCCAAGAACTTCATCAAAGCAGTTACAACAACAGAAACAAAGAAGAAAGAACAAATATGGATTGTTGAACCTACTCCAAGCAAGTTTCCTGAGAAGATAGTAAGGCCTTCGCCTATAGTACTTCTTCAAGTGGAGGGTGTTTACGCCAGAGCCATACTAGTCACAGGAGAACAAGTAACCCTGTTTGTATTGAAACATCTATGATAAATACCTGAAACAGCTACAGAAGTTGGAAGACCTAGAGATCTGGGGTATTGGAACCTAGAAGTTCCCCTGCGATGGGTACCTGATGATCAAGTTGACATTCGTCTCTTCTGTAGCTGGGCAACCCAAGACATTCAAAACCCTAGCTGTGATGTGCCCTTGTCCTTGTGCTAAAAAGAACTCTCTGCTAGTGGGGATGAACTATGTATTCATTGATAGAATACATAGTTTTCTCTGAATTGCTAAGCGCCACTCCAGCAGACTCTATTGTGTTCCTGGTCTGAGACAGGAAGGTCTCGGCTCAGACCAGAACACAGTGCTGTATGTGTATGTAGCCTCTGCTACATGCAGTTTATACAGCACATGCAGCAGCCTCAGATGTTAGTGAGGGACAGCTTGGCCCAAACGAACTATGTAAAGTGGAACAAAAGTTCAGTTTTAAGTAAGATGCAGTTCCTAGGCCACCTTGTTCCTATTCATAAACAAAAAAATGGTTCTGTACAAGATAATGCCACCCAGGCACTCACCTTGTAGATAAGATGGCTACAATGAATACCACCTTGTAGATGAGAAGAGAAGTACCTAAATGGGTTTAAAAAGGATGTTTATGAAGTGCAGCGAGAACTAGGTTACGTCTTAATCAAGGAGTAAGGAGCTGATGGTCTCTGAAACAAGATAGAAAAGGCAGAATCCTGTAGTGCTGAGAGACAAATAATGGTCCTGACCTAGTCATATTCCTACCCACTGTCACTGTTTTTGAAATTTTTTTTTTGCATTATTTACATATTTAAATTATTAAATAATTTTCATTTTTATTTTGAATTTGTCTAGCAAGGTTTCAGTAAAGGTTCCTTGTAAGATAAAGCCACCAGCTCAGACGCTTCCCTTACAAAGGTGATGGCTACAAGGAATATCACTTTGCAGGTGAAATTATTGGGAATAATGTCTACAATGGGTTTAAAAAGCCATTTCTGAAGCACAGAGAAAACCAGCTTTAGATTCCATGGAGTCACAACTGAATGAACAAGAGGAGCTACATGGGAGGTTCCTTGTACAAAGGTCTTAATCAAGAAGTGAGAGACTAATGATCCCTGAAGCAAGATATTAAGGGCAGAAACCTGACCTTTTACAGTACTGGGATCCATATGCTGTTTTTTACATGGTTTACAAATATACTCTTTTTATAATGTTCGTGTTTTTTTTACATTTTTTACAATTTTTCTTTTACCATTTTTATTTTGTAACTTGTAAGGCTGTTCCTGTCCTGCTCAAGCAAACATGGGCAGGGACAACAAGGCTATAACCAAACAGGAGGGATCATATCCGTTGACTACTTGGTGTCAAGGATGTACCACTGGCTGAAGGTGGCCCAATATGCACTTGAGGTACCAGCCTACCCCAGTGCATGTATCACTTCAGAAAGGGCTTTCAGCACTGTTGGAGAAGTTGAGGAGGAGGATTTGTGACTGAAAAGCTGACTTTTAATAAAACAAACCAGACTTAGATCACAAAGGACTACCAAACATCTGCAAGAGATGTTACTAAAGAAATGAATACATTTACTTGACGTACATTTAAGTAAGAAAGACCAAACACTTTATGAATATGGGGGTACAGCAGGGGGGTACAGTGCATCTGGGGTGAGGATGAGTTTTTGGATAGTGAGTTGCAGTGCCCCTGGGGTAAAGACAGTGTTTTGGGCACACAGTGTTTTACTTTTTTTTGTCAAAGGATGCAGTAAGGTGCTGTGAAAAAAGGCAGATCTTGAAGTGACTGCCAGCAACCGCTGTCTGATGTTTTATTCACCCAAAGCTAAAAGTTATACTCTAGAAAAAATAAAGGTAAAAATACTCCATTAATAGAAATAAATAGCTAAAGAGTTGACAAATGATGAGCTAGTTATGAATCAGCTATGAATCAGGTGTTGCAGACAAATATTGGTCCTTTAAGGAGTTCTCTATGGTCACAGCATACACTTTCATTTTATAAGATCAACATCATTTTAGCAATGCAAACAATAGTTATTTCTAACAATTCAATATATGCTCACTTTAAAAATCTTCTTTCATGTTGTGAGTGCTGCTTGTCTGCTTGCCATCACTTTCCACAACTTCCTTGATTGCCTGCATGCTTTGCATATTCTTCTCTGCCTTTAATTGCAAATTCTAAGGGCTACATATCCCATGGTAACTTGCTGCCTGCAAGCAGGGATTCCTGTAGTGACTCCTGAGACTCCTCCTCTCAGCACCTCTGTAGTTCCGAAGGCAGGCTCTGTGAATTCTGTGACACAGCATTGCCTACACACAGGGCATAGTGTCACTGTATTCAAGGAAGTAAATGTGTGGGGATCTTCACAAAGTAAACTTACAAACTTCAGTATCATTCAGAATAATAGGAGTAGGCTAGAAATAATTGAAATACAATGTGGAAGTGAATATATGATTTTACATTTTGACCATAGCTACACTTTAACCACTTGCCCTCCTGAGGATCTACCCCCCTTCCTGACCATCCCATTTTTTTGTGGCACAGCACTGCATTATTTTAACTCACAATTGCGCGGTCATGCAACGCTGCACCCAAATTAAATTTACGGCCTTTTTTTCCCACAAATTGAGCTTTCTTTCAGTGGTATTTGATTGGCTGTGCATTTTTAATTTTTTGCGCTATAAAAAAAAAAGTCTGACAATTTTGAGAAAAAAACATCTTTTTGACTTTTCACTACTAAACAAGTCCAGTAAAAAAAATTTAAAAAAAATCAAATTTCGTCATATATTTAAGGCAAAATGTCTTTTGCTTAAAAAACTCCCAATATGTATAAGTTAATTGGTTTATGTAAAAGTTATAGTGGTGGTATAGATACTGTTTTTTTTTTTTTTTTTATTTTTACTAGTAATGGCAGTGATCAACACCTTTTATTGTGGGACTGCGGGCTGTGGTGAGAATTCTGACACTGGGGGGAACTGACTTGGAGTCACTGAGATCCCCAGTGACACCAATACAGTGATCAGTGCTAAAAAAAAGCACTGACATTGTACTAATGGCACTGGGCAGGAAGAGTTTAACATGAGAAGTGATCAAAGGGTCAACTGTGTGCTAGGTGTGTTTTACTATGGGGCTGTATGTTTGTGTTTCACTGTAATCACACTGCTTTGCATGGCTGTGCTGTGCACAGGCTTCCAAAGCAGTGTGCACGCGCTGACAGGGAGGAGAACTGTTTTGTTTACAAACTATTACATCCAGCAACAATTAGGAAATATGCCCTGTGAAAAAACACATGCAGCCTGTTATCTGTGTACTGATTCTGAAAAGTGACAGGCTCCAAATAACCTGTGAAAAAGAACAATTGCAGCCAGCAACAATTAGATAATATCATAAACCTTTTCTTAAATACCTATAACCAACACCTAATAGTTCTCACTGCAAATGTCCAAACAATTGTCCAAAATAAGTCTTCAAACAATCCACACAATATCCATTTCAATTCGCCACTCCAGATCCAGAGTACCTCAAAAAAATATAAACTAAATATAGTGTATTACCCTTATATTCTTTAAATATTTAATAAGTGATACGTGATTCTTGCAACAAACAATATTGCAGTGAAAAAAAATATATATTTATAAATATAAATGAATATATTCACACAGCACTCTGTGAATTTCCAACACATCAAAAGTGAATGTCAGCACATCAAAAGTAAATAAATAAATGCAAGTGAACACTCCGTGACTCCCCACACTAGTGAGGTTATTACAGCAAACTCCACAACATGTGAAATTGTGTTAAATTCACTGGTGCCACACACTAGTGGGATTCAAGGCAATTACCCTCTTGCAGCATAAACCAGCTCCTCTTGCAGCATAAACCAGTATAAACCAGCACTTCAGGGTTTATAATACCAGCTTCCACCCTGCGGGTATGCCTTATTCACTCTCCCCAGTTCCTCATAAGAGTAGAGAAGAAAACCATTAGTGGAGTGTAAAGGGTAATAGACACATTAGGGACGTGAGGTCAGATGCAAAACCGGAAGGAGCGGAGCGGCCATTTTTGTTACTGGAGATTCAGCTTTTAAGAACTGATGGGAAAGATGGACGGTTTTCCTATCTTTAATGTAAGATTTAAATAAATGTGTCTATTACCCTGGCACCACTGAATTTAACACAATTTCACATGTTGTGGAGTTTGCATTTATTTATTAACTTTTGATGTGCTGACATTCACTTTTGATGTGTTGGAAATTCACAAAGTGCTGTGTGAATATATTCATTTATATTTATAATTATATATATATATATATATATATATTTTTTTTTTTTTTCACTGTAATATTGTTTGTTGCATGAATCACGTATCACTTAATAAATATTTAAAGAATAAAAGGGTAATACACTATATTTAGTTTATATTTTTTTGAGGTACTGGAGCGGCGAATTGAAACAGATATTGTGTGGATTGTTTGAAGACTTATTTTGGGACAATTGTTTGGGCATTTGCAGTGAGGACTATTAGGTGTTGGTTATAGGTATTTAAGAAAAGGTTTATGGTGTGCACTTTCAAGGGTGAAAGTGTGACTTTTCTTTTGAGTATTGATAGAGGAGAGTTTTCTTTGAAAGTTAGATAATATGTCATCTGAAATAGGCACAGACTGTGAAAAAAAATTTGCAGACAGGAACAATTAGTAAATATGCCATGTGAAAAGCCACATGCAGCCTGTTATCACTGTAGTGAATGTGGACAGGTACAGGCTGTGGGGAGTCTGCATTAGCAGCTTCAAGATGCAAAATCCTTCCCTCTGCGATCTCCATATTCTCCAAGATACACAACATTTTACTACCTACAAGATATTTTACTGTAAGAGACCAGTCAGTATCTACATGCCATATGCTAATCTATTTCTATGCACTTTTATTAGCAGCACATTGTCAATATGGCTGCTGGAAACCTGTCCCTTTATAGTGAGGGGACTGGCTTATTCAAAAGCCTTCTTATTGGCCCTTTTAGGCAGCTGACCTTGGTTCAAAGGCCTTAAAGTGCATTATGTTTAGTTGGTTGTGATAACGGTGAAACATTAATTTGGAGGGACCATGAACTTCAAACAGTCAAGGTTTTCTTCAAAACCAGGATACACCTATACCCGAATTCCATCCCTAGATATTGTATCAACCCTTGTAAAAGGCTGGCTTTAAAGACTCATGGGCACCTAATGGCCAGCATTGCAGACATGTGACCAGTTAGTGAACTAAGCTGTGCTCACAACCTAGACAATTTAAAGGGCTGTGCAATAAGACTGTTAAGACTCAACGAGGCATCAAATCTTTTCACATCTATTTATCATCTGGTTATTTTAATGTAAACATTTGTTCATTTACGTGAAGTGTTTTCATTATTAAGCTAATTCTGCCATCTTTCACACAAAGTGATGGGCTGGAGGGACAGCACTCACTGCAAGACTCTGAATTCTGCACTAGCTCATCCTGCTGTCAGATACATCTTCATTAGTTTTTTTTTTTATTTTTTTTGTGCCATCGCTGATGGCAAACGTTGCATAAATGGGATGACGATCAGGTCTGCCTTGATAACATGCCTTATCTCATTAGTTTTCACATCAAAGTTAATCAGCACTGTGAATTGTAATTGCGGCAGAAGACAATGCAATAGATCACTGGAACCCCTTTTTCCGCATGGCATCTTGAAACATCAGCAGGCTGTTGTGAGTAGATAGGCTCTGAATTAGAACATGATGTGAAAGGCATAATAAGCAAGCTGCTCGGAATTAATGAGCTTAGCCAATAAGAAAAGAATAACCAATCAATGTGAGATGGGCAAATATAATTTAGGAATAATTACTTGATTGGTTGTCTATAGTAAACTGATTTGACAACACAGGAGGATTAAGTATTAAGATGTCAGCACAAGGAGAAAAAAACTGAAATTTGGCAAGTTCAGGATGTCAGGATTTACAGATTACTTTGTGACTGGGAAACATTGATCATTCATATACTAATCATTATTGATTTGTTTCTCGTATTTATTTATTGGTATATTCATTTTTTTTTTTTTGCTTTTCATTTTTCCATTCAATAATGCAGCTCAGATACACAGGTTCTTTCATGACTACACTATGCCAAATTAGATCTGGGGATATAAGATCTTAGCAATATCATAATTGTTATGATTATCAATATTACTTATTATTATTTCTATTATTATTATATTGCATTTTCAGAGTGCAGGGATCGACAGATATTTTAGGAAAATGTGAGAGAATGCCAGGGTTTATAGATATTTGAACAAGCTGACCATATATATATTATATATATATATATATATATATTTTACATATATATATCTCTACAGTATATGCACAGGCCCTATATGTCTGAATTTATATATTGTATGTAAACATGGATTTTGCAATCTTCTATTGCAATATGAATGTAGTGACATCAGAGAGATGGAGGGAGGGTGTAGATGTATGCCTGACCATCTGACAACTCGTAAAGGACTTATTAATATAAAAACATCTCCAAGCATATGTATATCATCAGAGTAACAGAAGAAGGATTTTTATAGCTTTAGTAGCTGTTGGCCTGTCAGTGTAAACACAGAATCTGCATTAATATTTTTATTATTCTAGAAGCCTTAAGAAAAAGCTTCTCAGTATTGCATAAAAGATATATTCTACTATATTTATCTCTCTCTCTCTCTCTCTCGTAAGTAGTGTTACTTGATCAGATAAGTATCACACTTTTGCATGCGTTTTGTATAATATTAATAGTATTTACAAAGCAGCATGCAATTTGATGAAATGTTACTTATTTTAAAACATTTTAATCCATTACTGCACAGTTTAAGTTGTCTGGTGGAAACAACAATATTTTCACTATAGAATAATATATTTCCATTTTCTAAAACCTGTCTCAACAAGAAAGACAGATGAAATAATAAGTAAAATATAACAAATGCAATCTAACATAAGCCTGGGAGTGAAAGGCTAGGCACTGTGTCAAAGAGCTCACAATTTAAATAACAACACAGATACTAGTCCCAGTGAAATGTAATTGCTTTTATGAGATGTTAGGCATTGTAGAAGAATTATAAAATGATGGGAGGTATAATAAAGCTTAGTGTCACGCTCATTGAGACATTTGCAGTGTTTGTTTTTTACCAATGCACACAGGCTTTTGAGACTATTTCACCAGCAGCTATATACATTTAATCAGGCACCTTTCTATTCTCCTATCTCCACGGCAGAAAAGGTTCAGCCAGAAGGTAAATTTGCTTTGATCTACATTATACCTAATTGAGTCACCAGCAATGTCTCTATCCCAACATCAAGAAATGTGAAAATGTTAGATTATTTCACTGGGGATTAAACCTAATTTTCGCGTGTTCTGCATTAACCTATTAGGCTGACTGATCTGCATTGCTAATGTGGCTCAGGCAGCTGTCACTGCCAAAGCAAGACATGATCGTGCAATCCTTGAATGAATGATTCCGGCACTGATTAGTTTTAGTGAAGTTAGCTGAGCCAGAGCGATAAGGAAGAAAAATTCCCAAGTTGCCAATAGCTTTGAAAATTATCAGACTGTACGCAAAAATATACTGGCGGTTTATAGCAATGTGCACAGCTCTGAGTGATAATATTTATGGCTTGTGTTGACTCCTTTGCTTGTTTATATAGTATATTGCCTTACTTTGCTAGAATTTGACCTTATTTTAATTACTTTAACCTTTTGTTGCTGTGGCTATAACAACATTTTCGCTGCAATGCAGCACAGACTTGGCCGGCTGTAGGAGCCTCAAATACATATATACTAAATAGGGTTTATATTAAATCTCTGTTAGGGGCTTTTGTATTAAAAGCCATACTAGACAAAGTGCTGTAGTTGAGCCATTTTTTTCATGCATGATCCTTTTTTATTTATTTATTTATTTTTTGTGGTTAGACTTTTTAAAGCTGTTTCAATAGATTTCTGGATTTTCCATGCTCATTTTTTTTTTTTCATTTCATTTGCATTCCTAGAAGTTGCCTTCCCAACAGCTATTGTGCGGGTTGATATCTTAAAATAGTTTTATTTTAAACCAGGGATCTTGGCCATGATAAATTCTGCAAACAACAATAAATAGGTAATAAACACAGCCCAGACAAGATGGCTCAATGGTGTTTAACTGCGGCGTTCTATTCCCTACATCTCATC